CGTCAATACTTAATTGGATATTTCCTTCTATACTTTTTAGCACGTAGCTATTTATTATTAGCATTCTTCTTCCGACGTCTGATTTCTTTTTAATTATAGGAAATGTGTTTTTCTAAGATACATAAACTTTTGGGATTGACTATATAGCCAATACATCCTTAAACAAATGCGATGCTCGGCTGCGTTCTTCTCGCGTTTCGCGTCGTCACCGATCGCCGCATTTAATGAGTAATTGTGCGAGTTGCGATCACGGAGTAACGACGATCTACGACTACGTCACTGCGAATTTGTGCTGGTTTCCTATTTCTCTTCTTTTAAATCTCGTCGTTCGACGACTTAAATTTATAATACCGGTGACTTTCACGTTTTCCGTTTCACTTTTTAACATCTATTGGTACAAACATTGAGTCGTATATAATTAACAATCACGCTATCGAGGTCAGTGTATCGTTTCGTTCGATACGACGCATCCGTGTATGTATAAACAGTCGAGATCGATCGGATCTCTCGGCTCCTTCGACTCTCAGAAGTATTTGCGAGGATCACTTTGTACGCTCGACGATTCGTTTAAAAAAAGTTGCAACGTTTATTCCGAAGTCTCGAAGACGAATTCTCTGGCTACCGTCGCTGACCAGAAGCTCTCCGTGCAACTTCGATGGAACAATCAGTTCGATAGAACCAAATTTCGTGGGACAAGGTGATCCTCTGAGCAGCGATTTTAATTTCTAATTTACCATTACGAGTGAACTACGTGCTCTACGTTTCTCGACTCCTAGATTCCTCCAACGAGCATTAATTCGATATGAAACGTCCGAAATCGTTAGAAAATCGTCTACGAACGATGAAACGTTCTTATGTACTGTTACGGTATATCAGCTGAGTGATTCGTGTCTGACTTCTACAATCACCAATGTCTCTCGTGTCCCTCGGTTTAAAATACGTTTAGTCAAAAATCGTGCACGCGAATGTTCAGCCATCGGTCCCGATCGTTCGTCCAGAAATCCTGTCGGAGTCTTCGTGCTCGGCGTTTACTTCTCGAGGCATGCTCGACGATCGCTCGTTCAATTTACCAAAACGGTTCGACGATAGGTTCCCTTTGGATCGTTTTCGTACCGAGCGACCTCGCCGTAAACTCGCCGATCTTCGGGGGGCCGTGGGGGGGCGGGGGCAGTGCGCTCGATCCGGGTCTCATCGAGTCGATTCGTCTTACACGTCGATACCGAGCAGCTCCCTGCTGTCCGCCCTGGAGAATCGACGACGTAAACTGAGACGACGGAACTCCCTCCATCAGACGGACGCTCGCTTCACTCGAAGGCTGGCAGAAGTGGATGGCGGCCTGTAACCTTGGTAACCCTGGTCCAGTAGTTCGGAATTGGCCGGTCCCAGGCACGTGCATGAGCACACGCTCACGCAGTCGTCCGCGTCGTGTAGTATCGGCACGTGACCCGCCAGCAGTTTACCGTTCACGGCCACCACCTCGCCCTCCAGGGTGAGAACGTGGTCCGTGGCCGGCAGCATCTCGTTGTCATCGCAACGAGCATCGCCGGTATCTCTGCCGATTGATTAAGAAAAATTATACGAATTAATTAATTCGATAAATTCATTCCGGACGATCAGACGTCTTTTTAGAAATTGTGTATATGTCCAAAAATTAATTTGAACGAAAATCTCATCGAGTCTCGAAAGAATCATGGTACGCGAGATTTACGGGCGGACTCTCAGTGGGTGCACTTACATCGTCATGAAGCGGAGCACCAGTAAATTTATGCTGGCAGCCACGACGGCCAGTCCAAACAGGATGAACACTAAGCTTAAGGCCACGTATGGAAGATTGTTCGAGAGCGCGTGGTCGTTCTATAACAATCCAATCGCAGTCATGTTCGATTTGAACTTTATTTAAAGGAACATACGGAGCCATTGAAAAATTCAAGAGTTCGACGATCATCATCAAAAGACTGACCCGTTGGTCTTTCGAACGATGTATCCCGGTTCGAAATGGAACGCGGCAGTATAAAAAACGAACGTCTATCCGAAGATGAAGCTCTCGCTTGAACTTGCTCGTTTTAATAATGATATCGATCATCTACCTGAAGAGCGACGTAGTCACCGAAACCGATGGTGGTCAGCGTGACGAAGCAGTAATAGAAGCTGTCGAAGTAGCTCCAGCCCTCGTATCGAGAGAACATAGCCGCCCCCGTCGTGATAATTATACTGGAGAGCAAACCAGTGGCGAGCATCAGGTTCATCTCGGTCGCCTCTGTCTTCTTACATCTCAAATACGTTTTCGCGTGTTTGATCACCACGGAGGCGAACTTGTTCAGACGTTCGCCGATGCTTTGAAACATCACAAGGCCCAGAGGGATGCCTACCATGGCGTATGCCATGCAGAACACCTTGCCTCCTGTGGTCACCGGCGTCGAGTGTCCGTATCCTAAATATTTCGGAAAATTATCGATCTGACGAACGTTAGACTCAGCGTTAGAAATATATGATCCTGGAAATCATGATTCGCAGAGATCCGTGTCACTGATGAACGTTACTTTCAATCGTTGAATTTTATTTTTATCACGAACGAGCCGGTGCGTGTCGCGATAAAAGATCCCAGGTCGCGACTCAGTGTCGATCCCGAAGCATATAACGTCTGTTAACGAAATTCTTGATGAAGCGTCGCATACCTATCATAGCGAGGACGAGAGTCGCGAAGTAAATGGCACCAGTGAATTTCCACTGAGGACCGGCCTTGTGAGGTTTGTTCTCTGTAATGACTATCTCCAGCATTTTGTAATCCTCCTGCGTGATGTTGTACTTCTTCATCATGTTCCTAAGAACCTCTGCAATCATTCCCACCAACCCTCGTCGATCAACGGTATAAATAATCAGGGAGGAACGTTCTGACAGAACAGGTAAATATCTACCGGAAAGGAATTCCAAGCGTTTCATCTCGGTATTGGACTCTAAAGCGTCGAAGACGGCCGCGCCTATCAGGAGATACGTAAGCGTGCACACGACCAGGGCCAGGGTCCTCACGTTCTGTTTCTTCATCTCCGCTGAATCCGTAGCCACTGGATCGGTCCGAGGAGACGCGTGTTACCCTCGCAACGATCACGCCGCGTCCTCACGTTTTCCCCGTTCGTCTCTACGCGCTAAATCGTACGAACTCGCGCTGCCCGTCGCTCATACTCCCCTAAGACGAACGACCGGCAACATTTTTCCATTCGCGCGAGACAGTCGGATGCTCAGCGACATGACACAGGTAAATTTCTACGTTGAAACATGCACGGTCCACCAAACGACGGCACCCACGACACCCGACTACGCTCTGTCCGCGACGAGACGCGAGCAGGAGTATTGATCGGACCCGAGTAAGCTCCATGGAAACCTGGGGTGGAACGAGACTGGCTATCGGTAAGGACGGTCTTTCAGTGATACGAGCCAGTTTAAAATCAGACACTGATAAGAGGAGCGATAGCAGCAAATGATAACGTATATCGTTCGTAAAAACCAGTCGATGCTGACGTAAAAATAATTATTCAGAAACGTCGAAAATCGATTATTAATTAATACAGAGTATTAAATAGTATAGAGTATTAATTAAACAGAATTTTCATGTCGCACTTGATACATCTTGTTCCTGTTGATAAATTACGATCGACGAGTACAATTCGTCAACGTACAAGAATACTTAACGACGAAAGAAAGTCGGTACGCAGTGGTATAAGACAATCGCTGGTCAGACACGGCGGCCGCCGAGCGTCTGTGATGAAAAGTCCTTCCCGTATCGTGAATAACTCAAAGACTCCTTTATGAGGGTTAATGGAAATGCGTTTTACCCCCTTCGGAGAGGGCATGACGCTTAGAAGGGACTTGGTGCTCGACGCGAGTTTCAACCTAACTCCCGGAACTAGTTCTGCGGTTAATCAAGTTCCACTGGTGTGCTCCAGTTTTAACGGGGAGTCAGGCTTCGAGGCTGCTCCTGTAATTAATTGTTGCGCGTACGCCTAACACCGTAATCAGTGCCGAAAACAAATTTCTGTTATTCGTACGATGAAAATGTAACATCAGATACTATCACGACAAGATTCTATTTCAATTTCCTCGTGCACACTGGAAACGATTCAGCCGCTCTCGTTGTTAATTAAAAATTAGTTTTCGCATTATCTCTTTGACGGAACGTTAAATGTTCACCCAGCCTACGAATACTGTTACGAGAGATCTGTTGAATTCAATAGAGATCGCTGCGTAGGAGAAAACACCTACAGATTTGGATCAAAAGTAGAGAAACTTGTTTTCAATTACAGAACACGATGATTCGTAATTCCATGTTGAAATTGAGATATCGAAACGTAAGGAATTCTGTTGAAAGAAGAAACGATCCTATGGTTACGTGGTATGGATTAACGAGAATCCATCTCATGGATTCAGGGGTTTCCTGGAATAACTCCACAGGCTGACCATCGACGGTGCACAATGTTCGCAGGGCTCAAGGCTTTGAACTCGACCCCTCGACCATTTGCATATTGATTCCTACCCGTTCGACGTGGAACACCGTCACGGTGTATCGCTAATAAAGAGCGAGGTAAAGCAGCTAGTGATGGGCACCATCGACTAAAAACTATCGATTTAGTCGATAGTAGCCAACGATACTTTTAGTCGGTTAAATCTCTGATACTACATCGAACCAACTCCAAGCCGCTGCTTGAATTATTAT